ATGGTGAGATTTAGAAATTTTTGGAAGTTAGGGTTTGAAATTTGAAATGTTGAAAGAGGGGTTTTCCATGTTTGGGTTCCATTGTGTGTATGAGGTCTTAATAATGGAAATAGTTATGTAGAATGAAAGAAATTTGGCCTTGATTGCAAGTTTTGAGAAATGGAGGATAACACCCTAATTTGAGCTATATAAATTATTTGTGTAAATTATGAAACATTGGGGAAATATGAAATTGGTTTGGAAATTATGGAACTGGGAAAAAAAATAAGATTGAATGGTGTAGTTGGATTGATAAATCACTCACTTGTGGAAAATATAATAATTTATTTGTTTAGTAAATTTATTTTTCTGTTTAGAAATAACTGTGTTGGGCTATCGGTGGAGGATAACCATGATTGTTATAGAATTGCATGATGATTAGGTAAACCGAAACTAATCAATTGGAATATGTCATTGAATACGATGGTTAGAATAACACATTGAATATGTGCATTAATTGATCATTGTATATGATAAGGTGTTTAAATACATTGCATATGTATCTTTGTTTGGGAGGAGATAGGGGATGTACTCCATGGTTTGGGAGGAGATAAGGGATGTACTCCACTGTTTTGGAGAAGATAGGGGATGTACTCCATTGATAATTAAGTTGGCCGGAGTGTCTAGGGTGAAAGTCCCGAAACCCTATATACATCTGAATGATGTTGATGATTGAAGTGTTGATAATATGAGTTGTAGTCTCATTTTGAATTGTCGATGAATTGAAGTGTTGTTTTTATGAGTTGTAGTCTCATTTGAATTATTTGGATAAACGAACCATGTTAACAAAGTGAAATGAAAATAGAAATGAAACCGGGTTGAAAGATGAATATCAATGTTGATGGATTATAGAAATGATGTGAATCGATGTACATGGGTTGAACATTTATCAGATGCTAATGTTTTAGTTATTTCTCATATTTGGTTTAGCATATCTCTACTGGGCTTTGGCTCACCCTTCTTGGGACACAATTTTTAGGTATAGGGGACATGCCACCTCCAAGGTCTTAGCTTAGAAGGTTTAGGAGTTGAAGGCTCCGTGTTTTGTTATTTTTGGTTTGTTGGTAATTACATGTAAATTCAAGCCGAGGGCTTTATATGTAAAGAGTTAGTACTCGTCTTTTGTTGTAACCACGTTTCACTTGGAAAGATGTAAGCCCGGAGGGCATTCTTTTGTTATTAACATGTGCTATCATTTGTAAGAGGACTCTGATGAATGAAAATGTATCATTTCTTTATGATTATGGATCTTATGTGTGATTGTCATTATGCCTAATTTTGAGGGCATTACAATATGTGAAATGAAGATCTATGTGAATTTGAAAGAAGAAGTTTTGAAAGTTTGAAAAAGAACTAAAACAAGGATTTTGATCTTTCTTGTTTGAAAATTCATTGTATTTTTGATGTTTTGATTTAGAAAACAATCATAATCTCACGTTTTCTATTAGTTTTACATGTTTTTAAGTGATTTGAGTTGAAACCTAGCTTGGAAAATGAAAGAGCAAGTGTTAAAACCAACAAATATTTTCGGTGGTAGAATTTTGCCCAGAGCCGCACGTACGGTGGGGCTTTCCTCACATGCGAAAGTCTCTTTCCAACAACATTTTGTATTATGAAATAATTGCACGTGCTCCCGCACGTGCCCTGTCTCTCCCATACGTGAGGTTTTGGTCTCGCATGTACGAAACTCCCTTATTTCAGCCTAACTTCGAATAGTCATATCTCTCTCATCCAGACTCCGTTTTAAGTGATTCTTGAGCCTAAATTCAAGCCCCAGAAGTCTTGTTTCTAATGGTGCTAGTCCCATATCCAAATTCAAAGTACACAAATAGATATGTTCAAATTCGTGAAGGCTGTTCACTTTCTTTCAAACCGTTTCATGTTATTTCCTCTCCTAACCCAGTTTCCTTTCGTTTTTTCCTATTTTCCTAGACACGGATTATGACCCATTGAGAACTAATAAGTTTAGAACCAACATAAATAATTGGTTAAAGAGCAAAGTAAGGTATCGATTTATTTGATTAAGAAAAGATTAAGATAAGTAAATTTGATCAAGAGAGTAATTCTATGTCCCGATATATTGTGCTATGTGCATTGTGATTGCAGGTCAAGATTCGAGGACTGGTAAACCATTTCTAGAAAACTACTGTGAGTAATAGTAGTGTAACGATATGTTATGCTTATATGTTATGTTTATGTACTTTGACATGTTTTATACAACTTATGTTTTATTGGAAATGATTGAACACTGGATCACAATGGCATATGAAATGGAACTGAGGGCGTTCTATTATTATGATTAGGCCTGAAGCTGTTATGTTATTATGATTGGGCTCGAGGCCGTTCTGTTATTATGATTGGGCCCGAGGTCGTTTTGTTACCATGTGATTGGGCTCGAGGCTGTTCTATCATATGTGGGCCTGAGGCCATTCTGTTAACACGTGATTTGGCCTGAGGTCGTTCTGTTACATGTAGGCCTGAAGCCGTTCCGCAATAAGTGGGCCTGAGGCCGTTCTAAAATTGTGATTATGAATAACGCTATGCTTAACGTGACTATGATGAATGCTCTAAATGTTGTACCTTGGAAAATATTGGTTTTACATCACATGTTCTTATTTAATTCAAACATCTTCATTGAATTCTCTTTACATTACTATTATTCACTGAGTTTCGCTCACTTTGTTTTTATATATATATTTATGTAGGTGATCAGCTCAGAGGTCAATACTAGGTAAGCTTCAGGAAACTTTTGAAGGACCTGTTTTGCTAAACCTCCAAAATTGGAGCCTTTTGTCCTTTTAAAAAGTTCCTTTGATGCCACATTTTAGTTAAGTCTTTGATGACTTTTGTTGAACATTGGGTTAATATGTAAATTTTGGGTTGTGAACCTTCTATATATATCGATATGACTTGGACCTATATACAGGAGAACTGTGAATGTGAACTCTTTATATGGCATGATTAATCCTGACATATAAGTACTACTCAATGGACGTTCTGTTATTTATTTTGCTTCCACTTTAGGTCCCAATATGATTTAAATATTTTGAACTTTTGATTTGTGGCCTAAATGCAGGTCAGTCATGGCCTAAACTTTTAGGGACAAGTTTAGGTCGTGACACTGACAATTTTCGTGGGCTGTGCATTCAATCCCAGTAAGCACAATCACCTCAAATTGAGGGCAAATTAGTAATTATGCTTTGATATTATTTGTTTTTTTATTTTAAAACAAATTATAGTGATAGTTCCTATTTTTTTTTCTCTTATGTTATTTTGATCTTTATACTTTTAATTGACTTAATTTTGATTTTTAATTTTAAATTTTGTGTCAATTTGATTAAATTAATAACGTCGTTAGTGTTTTTGACAAAAACTAATAATTAAATTAGTTGAGATTAACTCACTGAGTTGAGTAATTTTATCTCTAAAAGCATGATATATTATATACATATTTTTTTTTATTAAAAAATGTTAATAATTATAAACACTTATAAGACAAAATTATAAATTTAAAATTAAAGTTAAAATAATAAAATTAAAAAAAGTCAAAATGACACAAAGATTAAAGGAAAATTTATCCATAAATCTTATATAAGGAATATTGATCTATTTAGTCCTAAATTTTTTTTATGAATCAATTAGTCATTTTTTGTTTTAGAAAGTTGTATTTATTTGATTTGGTGTTGTGGAGGGATAAAAATTAACCCATGTAAAGTGGGCCCATCCAATGCCTACATGGAAATAAAATTAAGATAATAAAATAATACCTTGTTGCCTTGTCAAATAACCAAAAAAAAAAAAAAAACCTTGCAACACAACTTGCAACTTGTCAAGTTACTTTGATATACATGTATCATAAAGGTTTTGGGCCATACAAATAACTTATTTTCATTAGACCAAATTAATAGCTTAAGCTTTTTGGAGAAAATAAGTAGCAAGTTGGCGTATATAAAAGGATGTAATCTTCAACTTCAAGGAGAGGTATGCCTAAACTGTTCTATTTACTTATTCTAATTCATTTTGATATATGTTATCTAACTTGATCGTTGAGTGCCCTTCGGTCGATAATCGCTAGTCCGGAGGTGCTAACCGTTTATTCTTTTGTAGATTCGAAACAATACGACTCAATTCTTCGTTGATCTCTCGATTTATGTATGTGGGACAATTTCTGCTTCTATAGGTGCCATTTGAATTTAAGTGAATACCCTTTTGTGATTCATTTTTTTAATTTTCTAATTTATTTTTGGGATGAGAATGGAAAGGTGAGGTGTGAAAGATTCTTTTTGGAGAACTGATGGCTACAGTATTGGTTGTCAAGTGTGAAAATGTATATTTTTATTAGTGTGATTTTCTGCTGTTACATTAGAGTGTTATATATATATATATAAAGAGAGAGTATACTATAGAGTTTTTGTGTGTTAGATTGATTAGCACAAACAAGTTTTTTTGAAATGTTACATTGTTACGTTTGAGAAAAATACACTAAAGAATTTTTTAGTGTGTTACTTTGGATTGTTATATTTGGGGAAAGTACACTAATGAGCTTTTTTGAAAATAATAGGTTGTTATATTTGAGAAAAATACACTAAGAAATTTTTTAGTGTATTACATTAGAGCATTATGTTTTTAAAGTGTATATTGGAGTGTTACGCTTATAAAAAAAATAATTAAAGAATTTTTAAAAAAAATAATACTACACTTTATAATTTTAATATTATGAGAAAATTTATATTTATTTCTCAACACACAACACATATGTGCTTTTATTTGATCTTTCATATAAGTCACACTAAAATAGAATATTTGAATCTATATAAAAAAAAAATTTAAATAATTCACGGCATCATGGTGGTCACCAATAAAATACTCCTACTTGTCCACGTAATTTGCCCTTTATTTTATTTTACATTTAAATTTTTCTTGCAGATTACAGACACGAAAAGAAGAAGAGAGGCATCGAACAACAAACCCAGTTCTACGGAGAGAGGAAGCTAGAAACAGGAAACTCACAGAATTCTCTCTCAGATCCGATCGATTTCTCTGCAAATTCCAAACCCTCGAAACCACAAACAACAACAACAATGGCTTCAACCTTCAGCGGCGATGAAACGGCACCGTTCTTCGGCTTCCTCGGCACTGCAGCTGCCCTAGTCTTCTTCTGTAACACCACCAACTCTCAATCTCCCTTGTCCAATTTCAATTTGAACCTGATCTTCTTCTTCTTCTTTTTCTTCTTCTTGTTTTTGGATCTGCAATTCTTATATATGGATGTGTTTTTTAGGTATGGGGGCTGCGTATGGGACAGCGAAGAGTGGCGTTGGAGTGGAGTCAATGGGTGTGATGAGTGTTGGGAAAAACTACTCACATTACACAATTTCACATTGCATATCGCAAAATTATGAGATGAACAAAACAAACCTTCAATCCCAGGAAAAATAACATGCTGAATAAAATACAGATAAAATATAAAATGGTTAAAAGAAGCAAACCGAAGCCTGTGTGATACCACAGTCTCCTTAAAATAGTTTCGCCGCCTCACCGTTGGGTGCTGGAGGTACGCCGGCGTCTACTTCCCAGGATACGACGGTTTTTACCAGCTACAACAGAATCACCTTCTGATTAGCTTAGCGAACGGACAACGGCAGCACTCTCTCTCAGGAAGAAAATTATAGGAGAAGTAGACTGACAGTGTATGGATGTCAAGGAAAAATTCTATATATCTCTTTTCAAGGAATAGGCCTCCTTTTATACACCATAGGGGAGAGGGGAGGAGCCTCTAGCCATCAAGGCTGGCAACCAATGCTAGCAAAACTGCCCAATCAATTTTGTAAAACTGATGAGCCTAAAATGTGTGAGTTTATATACACATTTATGAGGCAATTTCTTATTCAACCATTTTTCTCTAACATCCCCCACATGAATAAAATTGACCGAATACAGCAAACGCTCCACGTTTATCAACAAAGACTCGGAAAGAGAGAGAGCACATAGACTAAACCTGCATCAGAAAAGGTAGCTGTTGGCCTTGAACCTTTCGTAGTGAAAGCCTATCGGATTTACTGGCTGACCAGTGAACGTGATGTCTTTGAACTGTTCTGCCGTTTATGTAAACCGAGACAATAGACCTCACATAGGACGTTAGTCCAACCATTGTTCTTGTTCTCACTGGTGTGCCGGTTATGCCCCGGAACATTAGCCTGGTTCTGTGAGTGTTTTTAAAGAATTCGGCCTTGGCAATTCTTAAAAGCAGCCCCACTTCGCACTCACATAGATGACCTAGATACGGTATTTCATAACCACATCACTAAGGTCATAAAAGCATTAGCTTAACCTTCCACCCCCACCGGGCATCACTGTATAAAGAATGGGCAAGAGGATTTACCTCTTCAGTGACTCACCGTTACACGAAGTTAGGTTGTCCCTTTGAACCTAGATCTTGGGATCTCCAGTCAACTAGGTTGGGTTTTCCGTTCCGATAACCTTTACTAAAGGCCGTAACCCCCATTCCTCTTGACGACTTTTCTACTAACTCTCGAGTTAACCCTTTGGTTAGCGGATCCGTAATGTTGTCCTTAGACTTGACATAGTCTAGAGAGACAACTCCATTTGAGAGTAGTTGTCGTATGGAATTATGTCTACGATGGATATGTCTAGACTTTCCATTATATATATTACTCTGTGCCCGAGCAATCGCTGATTGGCTATCGCAATGAATACTGATAGCTGGCACAGGTTTCGGCCAACGTGGAATATCCTCAACAAACTGGCGAAGCCATTCAGCTTCTTCAGTTGCTTTATCTAAATCAATAAACTTAGATTCCATCGTTGATCTCGAGATACACGTTTGCTTGGCAGATTTCCAAGACACGGCTGCCCCTCTGAGGGTAAACACATAACCACTAGTGGATTTGGAATCTTTTATATATCAGATATCCAATTTGCGTCACTATACCCTTCTAGTACTGCTGGGTATCTGGTATAATGCAGCCCATAATCCAGGGTGTAACGGATATACGCCAACACCTGCATAATGCCCTTCCAATGAGTAGCATTAGGATTACTCGTGTATCTACTTAGCCTACTAATAGCGTAGGCGATATCCGGCCTTGTACAGCTCATCAGATACATCAAACTCCCAATGACCCGAGAATATTCTAGTTGAGAGACACTCTCACCATTATTCTTGGTCAAATATAGACTTAAGTCTACCGGTGTCCTAAACATACTTGTATCCGACTTTTCAAATTTCTCAAGTATTTTATTAACATAATGAGCTTGAGAAAGTACAATACCACCAGATATTCTGGTGATCTTAACACCCAGAATGACATCTGCAAGGCCCATATCCTTCATGTCAAACTTAGAGTTTAACAATCTTTTGGTAGCTTTAATCATTTCATCATTGCTACCAACAATGAGTATGTCATCAACGTATAGACACAAAATGACATAACCTTTGTCAGTGTCTTTAACATATACGCACTTATCACACTCATTGATTCGAAACCCATTTGACAACATAGCACTGTCAAACTTCTCATGCCATTGTTTGGGAGCTTGCTTCAAACCATACAATGAATTGACAAGCTTACAGACTTTCTTATTTTTTCCTGGAGCTGAAAACCCCTCGGGTTGCTCCATGTAGATTTCTTCATCTAAATCTCCATTTAAGAAAGCTGTCTTTACATCCATCTGATGTATTTCTAAACCACGTAAAACTGCTATTGCAATCACCATACGAATGGATGTAATCCTTGTCACAGGTGAATACGTATCAAAGTAATCCAGGCCTTCTTGCTGTCTGTATCCTTTGATAACTAGCCGAGCTTTATATTTGTCAATTGACCCATCCGCTTTCATCTTTCTTTGAAAGATCCAGTTACTCCCCAAGGCCTTACTGCCTGGGGGTAGATCAACCAACTCCCAAGTATGGTTCTGTAAGATGGAGTCAATCTCACTCTTAATTGCTTCTTTCCATAAAGGACTTTCAGGTGAAGTCACAGCTTCATGGAACGTTCGAGGTTCTCCCTCTAACATATAAGTCAAGAAGTCTGGACCAAAAGACTTTGTGGTTCTAGCCCTTTTACTCCTTCTTGGCTCATCTACTTCATCAGCTTGATCATCTACTTGATCAGTTGTTTAATCAGCTGTTTGATCATCCATGTGATCATCTATGTGATCGTCTTCGTGATCATCTATTTCTTTCATGGAACTCGGAACCTTGTCTTGGGGACGACACGGAAATACATCTTCAAAAAAAGATGCACTTCTAGATTCCATGATAGTATTCTTGTGTATATCTGAAATATCAGACTTGTGCACAAGAAATCTATATGCACTATTATTTTGTGCATAACCAATGAAAATACAATCCACGGTTTTCGGACCTATCCTAACCCGCTTGGGTGTAGGTACCGCCACTTTTGCAAGACACCCCCACATTCGTAGGTATTTATATGAAGGCTTGTGACCTTTCCACAACTCATATGGAGTCTTGTCCACTTTCTTCCGTGGTATTCTATTAAGAATATAATTCGCGGAGAGAATTGCTTCCCCCCATAAGTTCTGTGGCAACCCAGAACTTATCAACATTGCATTCATCATCTCTTTCAGCGTCCTGTTCTTCCGCTTAGCAACACCATTTGACTGAGGTGAATAAGGCGCTGTGGTTTGGTGAATAATCCCAAATTGAGCACAAGTCTCGGCAAACGGGGATTCATATTCACCACCACGATCACTTCTCAATGCCTTGATTATCCCGCTTAATTGATTCTCAACTTCATTCTTAAAAAGAATAAATTTATCAATAGCCTCGTCTTTGCTTTTAAGCAAATACACATAACAGTATTTAGTGCAATCATCAACAAACGTGATGAAGTACTTGTTGCCACCACGTGATTGTACAACTTTCAAGTCACACACATTATTATGCACTAAACCCAAAGGCTGGGTACTTCTTTCAATAGAATGAAAAGAAGACATTGTCAATTTTGCTTCTACACAAGTTTCACACTTGTGTTGTGGATTAATCTTGAAAGATGGTATGTGATCTAACTTGATTAATCTACGTAAAGAGTCAAAATTTACATGACCCAATCTACCACACCATAAATTAGGGGACTCAAGCATATAAGCAGAAGAAGAAGCTTTCTTATTAATCTTAGGGATAAGTGTCATTACATTCAATTTAAACATACCACCTGACATATATCCCTTCCCTATATAGACCCCGCCCTTGGTCAACACGACCTTGTCTGATTCAAACACCATGCAGAAGCCATGCTTGCTTAGGAGAGACCCCGAGACAAGGTTCTTACGAATGTCCGGCACAAAAAGGACATCGTTCAAAGTTAGTTCTTTTCCTGAAGTCATCTTCAGGATCACCTTGCCTTTACCCTCAACAGCTGAGGTTGCAGAGTTTCCCATAAACAACTTCTCCCCGTTTGAAACCGGTTCGAAAGTTGTGAACATTCTCTTCTCTGCACAAATATGTCGAGTGGCCCCTGTGTCCACCCAGCACTCCCTCGGGTTTGACCCCACCATGTTCACTTCTGACACGATGGCTGACAGATGCATGTCGTCCACATCGTGTGACAATTCCTCCATTTCAGCCATATGTGCTCGGTTTTTGTGCTGGGGAGGGTTTTTCCTGTAGGGCTTCTTCTTTAGACAATTAACTGCCTGATGCCCGTCACTTCCACAGTTGAAGCATTTGCCATCGAACCTAAAAGTAGGCTCCTTTGGCTTGTAGGCTGGCCTTTTGGAGATTCCTCCTCTAGCCCCCAACTTTGAGCTTTTGCCTGTCGGTGGTTTTTTCCTCGCCCCCGAGGACTCGCCATGCTCAACCATGTTAGCTTTGACAGTAGAGGTACGCCCTCCTTTCTTCCTGTTGTCCTCTTCAATCCGAAGCCTAACAATGAGCTCTTCGACTGTCATCTCCTTTCATTTGTGCTTCAAGTACTTCTTGAAGTCTTTCCAGCCGTTAGATAGCTTCTCAATCAAAGCAGCTATATTTCCTTGTCACAAGTATCCATCTATTCGTGTAGCTTACATTGATGAGGTTGAAGAACCCAACAAAGATGAAAATTATCCAGAAGGTTTACTATTCTGTGCTAGTGAGAGGGGAGGAGCCTCTAGCCATCAAGGCTGACAACTAATGCTAGCAAAACTACCCAATCAATTTTGTAAAACTGATGAGCCTTAAATGTGTGAGTTATATACACATTTATGAGGCAATTTCTTATTCAATCATTTTTCTCCAACAATACTTTGCAAAGGTTGATGAAGCAAAGTTCCAAAACATGTTGTGTGTTAGGTTAGATGTTCAACTGAGCTGGGTGTTCAGAAAGGTGGGTTAAGGTGTTCAACATAAAGTTTTGAACTGAATTACATGTATCAAATAAAATAAAAATATTTAGGATATTGAACATCCAAAGGTGGTTGTAGAGTCGCCCCTAGAGGCAGTAGATTAGGAAAGAGAAGAAAAAATTATTTGGTAGTTCTGGGGTGCCATGTCATAGTACTCTTTATAAATTATCATACATCAGGCCACTTATTGTTCTTAATTACCCAATAAAAAATTGTAGGTTTTACTTCCTCCACCAATCATAACACTCCTAGGATACTATATGGCTGTAGCTCAGGACTACCAAATAACTTCTTGAAAGACAAGGAGTGGTGATGGACTATGATAAGTGTGTGAGGTGACTCTTAACCGTAACGAAAGGGGAAAAAAAATTTAATTGTTTAAATTGTCATTTTTTTTATTAGTTTTAAGGGTGAGGCTTTTTTTTTTTTTTCCAGTCTGGGATCGGGTTTAAGCGTGCTGTCTGTAGTAGTCTATTATGGGTCCTATTTCGATAATTTGAATCGTTCAATATGTAGAACTTGTCCAGTCACTTTAAGAATTAAATTTTCCAAGGGATGAACTAGGTTAAACACACCAAGTTCCAAACTGTACAAGCAATTACAACAAAATTGCTACAATAATTACAAGCAAATAAAACGTGCTTTACATATTGGTGAATAACCACAAATGAACACTCAAGCAAACAATTGCCTCAAATATTTAGTCCAAATTAATCCTTTTTCCCATTTCCATAGGTATTCCTGCAATAAAGAGTTAGCAGTAAAATACAACAAAACCTCCTTCAGCTTTTCTTTTCTTTTGGCAAAGTAGTGATTGAAGGGGAGGGTACTAGCAAACAAACTAATAAATAACTGTAAGTAAAGATTAAAACCAACCCTTAAGTTACACATCTAGAATTTAAACTAAAAAAAACTGTAAAAAATTAATTACATAATAAACATGTAATTAACTATATAAGTTACAGACCTAAATTAAATATAATTAAACCATATTTTAACTTGGTAAAGGTTACATATGAACTTATGGTATACTAAACATGTAATTAATTGAGGCAAGTTACAAACATTTTATAACTCCTAAATACTTAAATCACATTACTAGGCAAGAATTGCAAATGACATGATTAACATGCAAATAATTCTAGAGAAATTAACATGAATTTAAATATAGGCAAGTTATAAACTTTACAACTCCACACCTAAATTAAAGATTAATAGGTACAATTACATGATAATTTACTACCTAATAAACATGCTAGAAATGTAAATTACACTAAAGATTAAACCCGAATGAACATGTAATTTATATTGTAAACTAGAAGCATGTGAACTAGAAGCATGTAAATCTAGAAATACAAGGCATGAACCGGTACACCATAAATTAATAAATTAATCAGAAAATATAGTGAATTAACGTTGCACCAATGGAACTCTTTTTCCCTATTGATAACAGTGGCCTATTCCATGCCATGGGAAGACCAAACAGTAGCATACACAAAATGGCAAAATCAAAAGCTTAACCCTGTGTACATGCATCTAATAAACCAATTAACTCGCTAGTACTACCAGTGGCCAATTACATGCAAAATTATTACACACACCTATGAATCTATTAATCTAATTCTACGATAAATGGCGAATCTATTTTAAGCTTGTTGGGAAAAACTACTCACATTACATAATTTCACATTGCATATCGCAAAATTATGAGATGAACAAAACAAACCTTCAATCCCAGGAAAATAACATGCTGAATAAAATACAGATAAAATATAAAATGGTTAAAGGAAGCAAACTGAAGCCTGTGTGATACCACAGTCTCCTTAAAATAGATTCGCCGCCTCACCGTTAGGTGCTGGAGGTACGCCGACGTCTACTTCCCAGGATACGACGGTTTTTACCAGCTACAACAGAAGCACCTTCTGATTAGCTTAGCGAATGGACAACGGCAGCACTCTCTTCCAAGAAGAAAATTATAGGAGAAGTAGACTGATAGTGTATGGATGTCAAGGAAAAATTCTATATCTCTTTTCAAGGAATAGGGCCTCCTTTTATACACCATGGGGGAGAGGGGAGGAGCCTCTAGCTATCAAGGCTGGCAACCAATGCTAGCAAAACTGCCCAATCAATTTTGTAAAACTGATGAGCCTTAAATGTGTGAGTTATATACACATTTATGAGGCAATTTCTTATTCAACCATTTTTCTCCAACAATGAGGCCAAAGCTTGTGATGAAGTCGATTGTTCTAGTGGTTATGGTTGGTGTGTTGGGCATCTATGGATTGATTATCGCTGTGATCATTAGTACTTGTATTAACCCTAAGGCCAAGTCTTATTACCTTTTTGATGGTTATGCTCATCTTTCTTCTGGTCTTGCTTGTGGCCTCGCTGGTCTATCTGCTGTTTTGTCATTTTAGGATGAGATTAGAGGTGGCAAACATAGCTCAAACTTATGACCTCACTCAATTATATTTATTTAAAACCCATATAAATTTGTCCAAATCAATAAATGGGCTTAAATTAGTTATTCATTGTCAACCTAATTAAAATTAAGTTTACATGGTTGAACATGAGTACTCATTTAAGTTCGTCTAAATACACACCACTTCTACCGCCTCCACCATCATTGCCACTCCACCACCTCCTCTCCCACTGCTATTCCACCACCACTATCGTCGATGCACTACCACGGTCACCACCACTACCGTCGCCACTCCATCATCACTTTGCCACCACCACCATCGTCGCCACTCCACCATCACTTTGCCACCGCCATCATCGTCATAAAATTAAAAATAAAAAATAAATTTTAAAAAATAATAATAATAAGAGATGAAATAGATAAGTTGGTTGGGTTCTCATTTGTCCAATCCTTATCTAATTTTACCCAATTTATTTAAACTCTTTTATTAAATCAAGTTTGAATTGGATTACTTTAAATTCATAACCCTTTTTGATCCATCCATTTTTCACCTCTAGATGAGAATAACTATATGAAAAATACCCTTGATATTTTTAATATTAAAAATTATATTTTATAAATATTTTATTTTTTTGGTACTATATTGGGTGTAAATATATTATTATACTATTATATTTTAACATTAAAAGTTATTTTTTTATTAAATTATTTTTTATAAAGAATGGTGGAAAAATATTTTAAAAAAAAAACGGTAGAAGGAAAACTATACTAATCGAGTAGAGTAAGTAAATCAAATAGGCTAACAAGAGGACAAAATAGTCTTTTACAAGCTAATTCCAATGGATTAAATCTCAATACCAAGTTTCCTTAGCCTTTGTTAATCTCCTCCATTCATGAAATTCACATTCCATTAGAACTAATAATCCGTTAAAACTACTTACAAACAAACACAATATTAATAAGTCCTACTCATTGTTTGTCATGACCCAAACCCGTCCCTATGGGTTAAGGTCATAACTGGCCAATAATCAAGGGATTACCTACGACCTCAATCAAAATCAGACATATTTATAACAATAATGGGGCCGAACAGAAGCACACTCAAAAATTTTGTCCAATGAGCTGTGCTTACATGGTAAAGCAAACATTTCATAATAACTCACACATATAGGCAAAATTAACATCTTACATGCCCAGGAACTTTCAAACATACAATTCAGCCAAACAAAAAGCTTATGTACATGGTGATCCAACATATTCACCAAGGTAACAAAGAGAAACAAAAAAAACAAAACAAGTCTCACGCGTGAGATGTTCGGGCTGACTCTACAAAAACTCGACTTCTCTCATGTCTTTCAGTGATGTTGGGATTGAACATCTCTTTGTTCACCTACATACATATAAATGAGAGTGAGCGATATCCCAGTGAATAATATCAAAATAAAGGAGTTACATGAATGAAATTTGTAGCAAACATATCAAATGACCATAGGTCCATTTAAGTTTCCATCTAATACATCAAATGGCCTCGGGCTCAATTCATTCTTATCAAACGACCTTGGGCCCAATTCGTTCGTGTCAAACGGCCTTTGGCTCAATCATTCATGTCAAACGGCCTTTGGCCCAATCATTCATGTCAAACGACCTTTGGCCCATCATTCATTTCCATATTCGTATTCATGTGTGTTATACCTATAATCATAATCACATTTGTATTCAATTAGTCTTATACAAAAAACTGGCATTTAGATTATTCATCCATAATTCAAAATACAGATCCATAAGGTTCATATAGAAGTAACGTTGTGGAAAATAACGTACTTAAACATATCTTTATTAAGATATTACTCACAGTGATCTGTCGGATGATTTGTCCTTATACTTGACCCTACACATTTCATAACACATTGGGTTACAAGCGATTCAATATGTTCTTTAATTTATTTATTCCTCTTAGGCCTCTTTCTTATCTTCTTAGTCCATTTACAATACTCAATGCATGTCTAAGATTGCTTAGAAATGAAAGAGAACGGAAAAAAAAAAAAAAAAATCATAAAACACCTTTTCAAAATTTTTGAAACAGGACTCTTTGCTCAAGCACAGCTTTGGTCGCTCGAGCGGACCCCTTTGGTCTGCAAAAGTACTAGTTACTTTATTTTTACACTTGAGCGTGACCCTGGTCGCTCGAGTAAGAAGTCAAAACATGTGAGTGGCCACTCGAGCACAACTCCTCTCACTCGAGCGGACATCTCTGTCTGCAAAACTTCTGGTTGCTTGCATTCTCCGCTCGAGCGGCAACTCCTTTGCTTGTGCGGAGATGACGAATTCTGGGATTTCCAGCAAGTTGTTTGAGCTTCAAATTTGCATTCCAATTGGTATAACTTGCATGTCATGACCCATAATTCATTTGTACGCCTTCTAACATGATACAAATACTAAATTTACAACATTATGAAGCTCAATTCCCATGAATTAATTACATGCATACTCAATTTATACCAAACTTATTTCCAATACTTCAAATTCATGCAACCTTAACCTATACCTCCATGAATTGTGCTTGCATGTGGAATATAACTTCAATTCTCAACTTAAGTGATGCAAAAGATGATCAAAAGCATGAATCTTAATCAAAATTCAACATGGATCATATGTTTCATGCTCAAATGTTCAAATCCATGGCAATCTTTATATACTGTGGACGCGGCGCGAACGTCCCGGGAAGATCCCGTTTCGTTCATTTGGGTTTACCACAGTTCGGACTCAAATGTCACGGTTCTGAATCTAATTTCACAATGTGCGATGTGAGACTGATAAATCACCAAAGAGTCCAAATCTGGCAAATCGTTTTGGAAAACTGATTTTTAATAAAGAAGTGCCAAACATGGACTACTTTGCCAGATACAAAGTCGCCACCAAAATATTTTGTTTTGGGAGAATTTGAGAAACCCTGACTCGTGCCTAAGGCCACGTGTCCGTCATCACCAAAGTTTCCTCGGCTCGGGAACTTGGGTACGATTGGGGAAGGTCATTTAATGAGCACCCCTGCTCGCCCGATCAAAGATCGGCCTGTACTAAGCATGATATCTTGTTTTTGAAAACACATGTGCTGTTATTCCGATTAATTAGCTAGTCTTACTACGTGATGCGCACAACAAACAAGTATAGACTAGATCGCCTAATTTGGAACGAAGCATCGCATGTCCGTTTGTTTGGAAAATGGTTTGAAGTTTGCTACTCGTAAGTAGGCTAAAATGCGGATTTCAATGAATTGTTCCAATTCAAGTAATCCAACCTTCACCCACAAGCATTCAGGCAGTTAATCACATAAGCAATTAGCCTCATGGCAAACATGCTAACATGGCAACATTAACACACATGCAGTATGCTAAAGCGTAAACACTCACAGTGTACTCCGAGCCAAAACAAAGAACTAGTTAGAAATCATGCATGATCCTAGTTCATGTTAAGATGACTAATGTAACACATGCAAAAATGCAATTAAAATAGGCTTAGCTATTCTAATCATGTCATGTGAAATGCAACTTGGTAAATGTATTCAAATTGGAATTGAAATACAATGCAATTAGTATGATGCACCGAGCCCGGTGCATGCAAGACAAATGAATGGTTGCACGCATGCGAGCATAAGGTATGCTTAATGAAATATGCCCTAAAACTAACCATCGTAAGCGGTTAAGTAAAAGGGAGAAAGAAATAGGGGTTGGAAGACATGCATCACACACACGCACGCTTGTTACAACACTTGGCTCTCTCGAGGGAGAAACCGAATAAAGAGCTAACTAGCTAATCTAACCTAATTAAACTAATTATTACATAATAAATTAATTAACTAATCCTAGTTAACTAATTATTACAGAACAAATTGAATAGCTAATGCATTAACTATTAAGAGTACAAACCAAAGCGTAAACTAGCTATCTAAGCATGGCAGCTAAGGAAAGCAGTAAAACAGGAGGTTCTCGGAG